CTGATGATGATGATGATGATGACAATGATGACAGTGATGGTAAAGTGGAATTTTAAGTCCTTGGTAACTAATGAAATATAGGAAGTAAAGAAGAGGAAAGAGTAAAAAATAACATAAGGTTTAGAACATGGAAGAAAGACAAATGGTGGTATCATATATAGATAAATAGAGATAAATGAAGTGAGGTTAGAAAGAGGAGAAAGATATAGGGGGAAGATATAAGACTCAGTTTTAGACATGTTGAATTTGTAGTGCTGGTGGGTTATTCAGGGCAAGATAGCTAATGGGCAATTGTAAGTAAGGGTTTGGCACTCAAATAGAAGGTCAGAACTCGAGATAAATACTTGGGAATCATGTACACACACTCATACTATACAAAAAAACTTACATATTATATATATATATGTGTGTGTGTGTGTGTGTGTGTATAGAGAGAGAGACAGAGACAGAGAGAGAGAGACAGAGACAGAGAGACAGAGACAGAGAAAGGAGAAATACTGTTATTGCCAAAGGAGAGAATATGTAGAAAAAGAAGACAGAGTCAAAGACTCTCTCTTGCTTTGGGAACATGTGAATTAAAGCGTCAAAAGAGAATGAAGAGTCAGTGGGGGAGACAGAGTGTCTAGAGAAGTATTTCTGGTCAGGAAACAGGAGAGCATAGTTGTCTCTAAAAAACTAAGGGAGGAGCTTGTTATCTAGTAGGAAAAAGTGGTCGGTTGCTATAGGGCATAAAGGATTAGATTGGGGAAAGGACCATTGAATATGTTGATATGGAGATCACTGATGTACTTTGAGAGATTTTGGGAAACTAAACCCATACTTCAGGGGTTGAGTAGAAAGTGGGCTCTGAGAAAGTAACACAAATTGGGTGAAAAAGAGGTTCAAGGTGCAGGCTTGATGAAAGAAAGAAGAAAAGGCCTTTTAAAAAATTCTTGGCATCCTTCAAAGTTTAACTAAAATATCATCTCCTGTATGAGGTCTTAACTGTCCCCTCCAGCTGTTAGTGCTTGCCCTCTGAAATTACCTTGTATCTGTATTGCATATATATGTTTTCCTTCATGGAATATAAGCTCTTTGTTAGCAAGAAGTTTCATTTTCCCCCCCTTTATATCCCCACCTAGTAGGGATTTAATAAATACTTGATAATTGCTAGTTAATTAACAGTAAAGAATTAAATGGAAATCCTCGTTTTCTGGAATCCCTCAATAAAGTTCCATACAATTTAAATTTAAAAATCAGGCAATAGCAATTAATATTTGCTAAGCATTATTGGACATAAAATATTTTGCTAGGCACAGCAGAGGATGTTAAGACCCAGTCTCTCAAAGGCCTTACACTCTAATTGGGGAAATAAAACATATGCAGGAAAAGATAACAGATAATATGAGGAAGTATATAAGAACCAATCAACCAGCACTTATTAAATACTTACTGTATGCCAGGAACTGTGGTAAGCATGGAAGGTAAATAGAAAGTCAAAACTGCAAAACCTGGCCCTGCCCTTAAGAAGCTTACGTTCTAATGAGGGAGAAAACATGCAAATAAATAAATATATCGAAATAAATATATAGGAGATATATACAAAGTAGAGGGAAGCTAACCGTAAAGGGGAGGGCTCAAGTGCCAAGGGGGTCAGGAAGACTTCTGAAGGATTATACCAATAAGAATTCAAGGTAGGAAGAGGTCACTGTGTTAAGTAGGAAAGGATTACTAGAAAGTAGTATTCAAGGAGCTTCTTGAACAATAGACAGGATTTATAGTGTAACATATACATATATCTGTGTGTGTGTGTGTGTATATATATACACACACATACACACACATATATACACACACACACACACACACACACACACACACACACATATATATATATATATATATATTTTTTTTTTTTTTTGCTTAGGCAGTCGGGGTTAAGTGACTTGCCCAGGGTCACACAACTAGTAAGAGTCAAATGTTTGAGGTAGGATTTGAACTCAGGTCCTCCTGACTGCAAGGCTGGAATCCACTGCACCACATAGCTGCCTCTGGTAGGATTTATAGAAGAGAAGTATGTGAGAATGTCCTAATCAAGGACTGGTGGGCAGGAAGATCTGTTCAGGTGATTCAGTTGATTTGAAGAACTGCTTCCCCTACCCTAGGGGAGTGGGAGATAAAGATGGGAAGCTAACCTGGAGTCAGTTATTGGAATGCCTTGTGCCTGCCTCAGTTTAAATTTAAACTTGATCCTGTTAGCTTTGGGGAGCCATTAAAAGGTGTCTGAGTAGGGAAATAACATAAGGAAAGCCCTATTTGAAGATTAATAATATGTAATATTTAATAAATAATAGTAATAATAATGTATTCAGAGGAAGAGGAAACTGGAAGTAGGGAGACCTAACAATACTCTTACAATAGTCCAAGTATGACAAGGAAGAGGTAGGTGAAAGTGAAAATATGAAGAAATAATTAACAGGACTTAATCACTGTTTGGTCTATTGTGCTGGGGATGGGAGGGAAGGTGTGGCAAGTGAGAGAAAGGTTTCCAAGATAACTGATCATTTCAGTTTAGGTGACAGAGAGAAGAATAGTACCAGCAACACAAAGAGATATGTCAGAAAGTGAACAAAATAATCATGGTAACTTCTTTGAGGTAGAAGATGATTTTGATTTGAATGTGTTGAATTTTAGCTGAGATTGAGCCATCAAAGGGGAAACTTCCAGCAGGTAGTTGGAGAGATGGGATTGGAGCCTCTGGAAGAAGTGAATGCTGGAGATATTGAGAGTCATCTGAAAAATTACAATTGAAATCATGAGAATGGATGAGATCTCCAAGGGATAAAAGAGGGGAATAAGAGAGAGCAAAATCAGTCATGCTTTATGTTTTCAAAAGAATCAGTACATTAATAAAGTAATAGATAATTACTTTTCATTCTCCAAATGGTTATCTTAAGTTATATAAAATTCCACAGGGTTTCTGTATTTCAGGGTTAGATGAGATCATAATATCACTGCAGATCATTAGAGGAGTAATGACCATTTATTATAGGTGCATGGGTTTGGTTTTTGAGTTCTCAGTAGCTAAAAGTCAAGATAGGTAGGAACTAAGTCATTTTAGTGTGAGACACAACCTGCCTGAATCTCTCTTTCATCCCAGTTTGAATTTTATGATCAGATGCAGAGCCCCTTATATAATATAGCTTTCATTTTGCATTTGGTAACAGTATTTCCTCCAGGAAATACTGTAGAGCTGCTCTAGAATAGAGCTGAGATTAGGTCTGGTTGTGTTGGCTTTACCTCAAGACCTCAACAGTTGTGTTGGGGGGAGGTCTAAGAGAGTAATTGGAGAAAGTAGGAGGAAGGTAGTGTGGAAGTGGAGAAATACAGTAAGCATGGTAACTTCTCAGCACGTAGTTCAGTGGTGACAGAGTATTTCCATTGGCATTTCTTTAACATGGTCAGACTTCCTAATAAGTAATTCATCTGATGTTTGTAGATCTGTGAAAAGCCCTTAGTTTTTAGCATTGTTCATTTATCATCTTTTGTAAGCATAGTATTTAATAAAATAAAATAGGCTTTTTTAAAGGTTTCATAGTACTTTTCAATCAAGAGTATCATATTGTTAAAACAGTATGTGGTAATGCCTCACTTTCTTGGCATCATTGGGGTTAAGTGAATTTTCTAGGTAACTGAAGCTTAACCTGCTTATAATGGAAACTTTATTTTTGCCAGGTTTTGGTAGAAATATTATTAAAATGTTTTATATCCTTCCTGACTTGGCAAAAAGAATATACCGAATATCTTGTAAACCCAAGATTATTGTTATTTAACATCAGTGGCTCAACTGACTCTGTTTTCTTGGAATTCTCAGCATTGCTTTTCATTTGTTTTTGACCATCTTTGCTATGTTAAAGGCAGTTGTATTGTTAGAAATGGTTTGGTTTTGACTTCAATCCATTTTTGGTTAGGCTACCTGCTCCAGTGCTACTTAGGTAACTGTGGGTAGTGGGTGCCTATTTCCATGACTGGGATAACCCAGTTACAAACTGTTTGAGCCATTTAGCTATCAGTTTAGACTGTAGTGTTGTGGTCTTGGTAAAGAAAATCTAAACAGAACAGGTGGGACTTAATATACACACTAAAAAGTAGTTGTATTTTCATTCTGCAAGTATGAAAATTAGGTTAATAAAGTTAGGTTTTTTAAAATTTTCAAATATACCTCTTCTTTCATTATCTTGTATTATTTACCAGATTATCTTGTATTATTCACTTTAAACACCATAATTTGCCAAGTTACTTTGAAAGAAGAAGAGGAGTTTGAGTCTTAAACTAAAATACTCTTTGGAGACTATAGGAACTTTCTTAACAAAATCTTATGTTATCTTAAAGTCCTAATCTATGTTAAAATAGTTAAGGTTTGAAGCCCTTTGTGACTTACTGCTTGAAAAAGCTCTTCCGTTACTGTAGGTGGCAATTTATATCCAGTTTTGGGGAAGGGGGGAGTGCCTAGAATCTAATGGCTGATTGGTGCCCAAATTTTTTAAAAACTAAAGATGATAAAAATTCATTGTACATTAATTCGTTAATGCAGAAGAGATAGCTAATGAGGCATACAGAAAAAATTATAGTTTGGCATGCTTATAATTTAACTGTGCAGTGTGAGTTGTTAGTTCAAATTATTTCACAGTCTACATTACCTATTTGATAGTCTTTCTAGTATTTCTGCATTTTAATTAATTTTTCCCATTTTAAAAATATTAATCTACTTAAGAGTTCCACTCACTTACCTCAGATCAGTAAGGCAGAGCTAGTAAGTCACTTGCAAAGAAGCCCCATATTTCTTGTGTTTAATAGATTCAGTGGAGGTATTAAAGTGAACGTTTAGTCCAAGGCTATGTTTCTTGGGCCCAGATTTTTCTAATAATACAGAATTGGAGCTGCAGTGTTCCATATTTAAATGTAGTGGTTTAAGTATCAATCATTGTCATATGTGATTTCTTCTTTTTCTTCTTTTATAGCCTTGTTGAAGAAAGCAAACTGATCCCAGTTCTTTTTGAAGTAATTCTGGTAAGACATGAAATGAATATTTGAAAGTAAAAAGAATGGAATAAAAAAAATGATGTATGTTATACAAAAAATAGCATTTTACTAAGAACCCAGAGACCTTGGTTCTAGCCTGAGTTCTTTCATTAACTTTCTTTAAAATTTTAGTCAAGTCATTTAACCTAGCTGTGCCTCAGTGTCCTCATCTCTAAACTGAAGAGGTTGGACTAAAACCAGGCTTCTGAGCTTGGGGTCCATGGATCCTCCAAGATATCCATGGCTAGATTTCTGGGGTTTTGTAAACCTGGATGGGAAAAAAATTACATCTTTATTTTCACTAACTTCTAACTGAAATTTAGCCTTTCTTTCCATTGTGAGTGAACACAACAAACTATTATTCTGAGAAGGGGTATGTGATGTACAAAAAGTCAAGAATTCCTGGTCTAGAAGATCTTTAAGATCTGTCTTTAGAGTGGTTGTGTGGTGGAGTTCAGAGAGCTCTGGACTCAGAATCCCCACCCTTGGCTAGGAGGCCTGGCTCTCCACCCTATGGAGAGTTGCGCCCTTGGGCAACTTTACCTATTCCCTCTGAGCCTAAATTTCCTTGTCTCTAAAAGAGAAAAAAATCCTTGTACTACTACATTACTTTATTGTATTGATGAAGGCACCTTGTAAGTGTAAGGCATTGTTTCTAAGTTATTATGATGAAAATTGTACTTCTCAAAATCTTACGTGGATTAAGAAGTGACCCTAGGTTGTTGAAGACTATACCATTATGCAGTTAATCATCAAGAATTTATTAGGTGTCAGGCACTGTTCTAGTGGAATGAAAGCCCTACTAGGTTCTACCTTGTTGGAAAGGCTCCAAGCATTGGTGCTAGCCAAAGACCGCACCTGCTTCCTAAAGACCGGACAAGCTAAATGTGGAGAGGTTAATGAACAGTGGATGACCTCTCAGTGATGAATTTTCTTCGGCCATGGCAGCCATAAAACAAAAAACATATTAAATGACTCTCAATCCTATGCAGCCTCCTTCTGCTTTTGTACTGATGGTGAGAGAGTATCGGGAAAGCAGACAGAAGGTGTTTAGAATCATATGGCTTTTAGGTCACCTAGAGATATTAACTTGGGTATTGATACTCAGAAAAAGAGCTTCTCCAGTGACCAAGAAGTGAACAGAGCTGGAGGAACTGAATCACATGAGTCTTGACATTCTTGCTGTACTCAAAGCCAGAAGAAAAAAGGAAGTTGCAACTCATTGAAAAGATGGCTCACAGATTCTCCTTGGAGAAGCAAATAAAGGAATTGGCTCAGTTGATTTTATCTTGTGTTCAAAGACAACAAGAGATTTCATGTCATGGAACATATGGTCATCATGTGTTACAGTGCTTGTGCTAAATACTTGCAAAAAGATGACCATGAAAATAATTGCAGCTTATATGCCAACATCTGTAGCAGAGCATGAATAGGTGGAAAAACCCTGGGAAGAGTTCAGTAAGTTGTTGAGAATTAGATCAACATATGCTTTGATATTTGATGGCTATGTAAGTGGTCAGAGGTGAGGCTGGTAAAAATGTATGTTGGCAGTTATGGTTCAGGAGTAAGGAATGAGAGAGGTCAAAGAGTTGTAGACTGAACAGAGGCCCCAGGATTGTACATCATAAATTTTTCCTTTGAGAAAAGAATTGGAAGGCGCTGGACAAGGTGAGCACCAAAAACATAACAAAAATGAACTTAATTATATTTTGACAGGAAACAACTTTATTACTCCTCTGCGAGTCATTCCTGAGTCTGCCATCCATGTGAGGTCACACAAACAGCTTGTTAGAGCAAAAATCAAAATTAATAGAAAGTTAGAAAAAAATGGATTAAAATGAGAAAAATATATGGCATGCAATTAAGCCCTGACCTATTAAAATAATTGTTCAAGTGGGAAAATGGGAAAGGGGTGTGGGAGAGAATACCAACACCAATTATGTTTCATATGGACATTTAACTAATTAATGTAAATCAGTTGCCCCTGTGAAGAGACCAAAAGAGCCCCAAACCCACCATTGTCAACAAACACCTGCCCTACTTGACAAGCAAAGAGACATGATAGTCAAGGGCAGTAGTTACTTAGAAAATAAACACATTTGTAAATGAGCTCTTGGAGAAGGATGTGAGAAGATTGAGGCCAGTTACAGTTTAAAAAAGCAAAAGAACAGCAGAAGGCAAAACAATTGTTTAAAAAAAATTCTCAGGCACTTACCTAAGAAAATTGTCAAAGCAAAAGGAGGTCCGTAGAGCAGTAATTCAAATGACAGACTAGTTGGAAAATTAATTTTGTGAGGAATAACTGAAAGAGCTAAATCCTGCACCATGATTCTAGCTGAGGAGTGATCAAAATGTATAACTGTCAAGGAAAAATTAATATTTAAGATAATGAAGACAATTAACAGACAGGAAGAGAATTTAGAAAAGTGAAAAATTCACTGCTAGGAAAAATGCCTATGATTCTTGGGTCATGTGAAGTCTTTATTTTGGTACCTTTATGCTTTCTTGTTTTTTTATGTTGTATATGTTGGTGCTAAAGTCCAACTCTGATGCCTCCTCATGGCTTAGAAATGACTGAATTATCAAATGATGGATACCACCATATTGGAGAGCCTTCAAATATTTCAGGTCTAGCCATGAGCTACATTTCCATCATCGAGGGATCAGCCTAGATAAATTCCTAGAAGCAAAACATGAGAAGGTTGGCTGCCAGACAATAAGTGTTTTTGGCCAGAAGAACTCCTGAGGCCAGTCTGCTAAGATAAAGAGATATTGCAATCTACATTAATGGAGGAAATACCCTCATTGATAAATCATGGATCCTTGAAGAGTTGAGTATAATGACTCTCCTACAACAAGTCTGTAAGTTCCTTGGAGGAAAGAATAATCTTGTACTTCTTTGTACTTTATGTATCCACCAAGGTTAGTTAATACTGTCTGCATAATTGATATTCTACAAACATCGATTAGTTTTTCTACAATGCCATGTATGTAGTACACATTTGACTATGATCTCCTTGGAGTCCAGGACCATTCTTTTGCCATCCCCAGTGCTTAGCATAGTGCCTGGCACATAGTAGGTGCTTATGAAATAGTAGTGGACGGACTGACCAGTAGGCGTTTAATAAATGTTTGAAAGAGTAAAATGTGAGAGGTCAGTATTTTGTCTAATCTTTCTGTCTTCAGCCCTATTCCTACTCCCCTTGATTTCAGAATGGCAGGAGAGATAAAAAAGAAATAAATATTTTCAGATAATTGACTTAGAGCTGGAAGGGACTTTCTAGGTCCTCCACTTGTAGCTCCTTCATTTTATATAAAGGAAACTGAGGCCTGAATATGTTGTGTCATGTATCTGAGCTCCCATGGAACCTGGGTCCACTGACTTTGCAGTAACCTGCTCTCCGTAAAATGTTTGTATTGGCCAATATGAGCAAGTGGCATGACATCAACTGAACTCATGTATTTCTAGGCTCTTACTCTCACTGCCTGTTCTAATTCATTGTCTAGGGCAATGGCTTTTATAAAAGAGGTGTGTTGTAAATGGTTTTGGAGTTGAATCTAATTTTTGTTGCTATTGGAGGAGCTGAACATCTCCAACAACCCCTGGCAAAATTTGATCAGTTTGTTTGGGCTGATGGTAAAATTCAGCTCTCTCTTCTAGGCCACCATTGCTTTTGTCCTCACTCATGGTTCCCACATCTCAAGTCAGATGTAAAAAATTACTATTGGAACTGACAGTAAAGCCAATGATTCCTTTTACCCATCCCTTAACCACTAACCATAAAGTTTATTCTTAAACAAAGAATTCAGGACACTTGCTATTTATAGGACTTGGAGTGTCAGCAGAAGGCTACTGGTTTTGATTAAATTAAGCAAGAGTCTCTGAGCATATGATATCTGCTGCTATTTGTATCAATTTTCTTGGCTAAGTATAAAAAAGCAGACTCTACGTACTTATCCCGAGCTATCAATGATTTCTCACGTTGTGCCTGGAAACCTGACAAACTGAAATCAGTTTACTGAATTATGGGGAATAAAAATTAATATTTAGACAAAAGAGATCTTTTAATATTTCTGGCAGGGGAAATAGAGTTGAAAATTTATTAGAAGTACCAAATTTGAAAAAAAATTCACAGAGGACAGTGAAGGACAGGTGATTATCACATATTACTTTGGAATGTGCAATCTAAGCAGCAGCTTTCACTGGAAGCCCAACAAGAAAATAATCACAAGGAAGATATTGAATCTTAATTTTATTCTAAAATATTGTTTGTTGAGCTGGCTTCTTTCATCTGTTGTATACATAGATCTGAGTCCTCATTGTGCCCCACTGCTTAGAGCCAAAGGTCAAGAACCTGAATAAGGGACATACTTTTGGCAGGACAGCCCTAAAGTTGAGTAACTTGTAGGATCCTTGAACAGACTTTTATAAAATGAATACTGAGTGCAGAATACAATTTGAGGGAGAAGAGTTTGGATAAAAGCTGGCCCTTGCCTTGATCCTTACCTTCCAATTTGTCCAAGTCCAGCTCAATTACCACCTTCTACCTTTGGCAATCCCCTTAATGTTTGTGCAAAATGCTTCTTGTTGAAGGTGGTTGGTACCCTTACTGGAATCTGAAACAAGTCAACAAGCATTTATTAGTGCTTTTATATTAATGCATTAATAAATACTTGTTGACTTGTTTCAGAGTCCAGTAAGGGTACCAACATATTGGGTTGAGCAGGAGATACTTTCCCCATTGTGTACATAGAGGGTGCCCTTTGGTTAGAATACACTTGATTGAGTCCTATGGCTTCTCAGAGAGTTTCAATAGTAATTCTGCCATCATTGGGATCATCTAGTTCTTTCAGAATCTGTAGCAAGTAAACAGGCTCCTCTCAGAGACTGCTTAGTTCCTCGGCCATCACTTCTTTCCACTGGCTGATCAAGAAGTACAGCCAATTACCCATTAGGAGATAGGTGTTTTAAATGCATTTTCTTTTGT